GGTGGTTTGGGGCAGTGCCCCCCAAGTGTCCCCTCGGTGCCCCCCAGTGCCCCCCAGTGCTCCCAGTTCCCCCCCAGTGCTCCCAGTTCTCCCCCAGTGTCCCCTCAGTGTCCCCAGTGTCCCCCCAGTGACCCCCAAGTGTCCTCCAGTGTCCCCGGTGTCCCCCAGGGTCCTGCACTGGCTCTTGTCACCACCCCAGTGTCCCCCGGTGTCCCCTCAGGACCCTCCAGTGCCCCCCAGCCCCTCCCGCTGTCCCCGGGGCACCGGAGCAGCAGTGCCAGCACCGGGAAAGCCGCGAGGTCCCCTCGTGTCACCTCAGTGCCACCCCCGGTGTCGCTCCCAGTCCCTCCCAGTCCCTCCCAGTCCCTCCCAGTCCCTCCCGGTGCCGGCATCGAGCGCCCCCAGCTCCTCCCGGTGTCACCGGGGCGCCACCGGAGCGGCACCGGGAGCACCGCGGGGTCCCCTCGTGTCACCCCAGGGCCACCCGCGATGTCCCCACCAGTGCTCCCAGTGCTCCCAGTGCTCCCAGTCCCTCGTCGGGCCTCGGTGCCCACCTCCAGTGTCCCCAGCTCCTCGGGTCGGTGCTCCCGGTGCCCGGGGCGCCGCAGCAGCACCGGGAACACCTCAGGGTCCCCTCGTGTCACCCCAGGGCCACCCGCGATGTCCCCACCAGTGCTCCCAGTGCTCCCAGTCCCTCCCGGTGACACCGGTGCCCACCTCCAGTGTCCCCAGCTCCTCGGGTCGGTGCTCCCGGTGCCCGGGGCGCCGCAGCAGCACCGGGAACACCTCAGGGTCCCCTCGTGTCCCCTCAGTGCCACCCGCGGTGTCCCCCACCAGTCCCTCCCAGTCCCTCCCAGTGCCCCCAGTGTCCCCGGTGCCCCGGTGCCCCCGGTGCCCGCCTCCAGTGCCCCCAGCTCCTCCCGCTGTCCCCGGGGCTCCGCAGCAGCGCCGGCACCGGGAACTTCTCAGGGTCCCCTCGTGTCCCCTCAGTGCCACCCGCGGTGTCGCCCACCAGTCCCTCCCAGTCCCTCCCAGTGCCCCCAGTCCCTCCCGGTGCCCCGGTGCCCGCCTCCAGTACCCCCAGCTCCTCCCGCTGTCCCCGGGGCTCCGCAGCAGCGCCGGCACCGGGAACACCTCAGGGTCCCCTCGTGTCCCCTCGTGTCCCCTCCCGGTGTCCCCCCCGGTGCCCCCGGTGCCCACCTCGAGCGCCCGCAGCTCCTCGGGCCGGTGCTCCCGGTGCCCGGGGCTCCGCAGCAGCGCCAGCACCGGGAAGCGGCGGCGCAGCTCGGGGAGGGTCCCGGGGGGCACCGGGAGGAGGCGGCTCCGCCCGTCCGGGGGCGGCAGCGACAGAGCCCCCCCGGGACAGCCCGGGACCCCCGGGACCCCCGGGAGGCCCCCCGGGACCAGGGCCAGCAGCGCCAGGAGCCACCGGCAAGGCCACAGAGGGGACATGGGGACAGCGACAGGGAGAGGGAGAGGGACAGGGGACAGGGAGAGGGGACAGGGGAGAGGGACAGGGGACAGGGACAGGGAGAGGGACAGGGGAGAGGGACAGGGGACAGGGACAGGGAGAGGGACAGGGACAGGGGACAGACGGACACGGGTGACACGCCCCCCCCCGGGTTAGTTTTGGGGTGCGGGAGGGGCTCGGGGGGTCCCAAAAGAGGGGGAGGGGATCAGTAATAGGTTTCCTTCTCCACCCAGCCTGCAAAAAAGGGGAGGGGGCGTCAGGGGGACCCCAAATCCCAAATCCAAAATCCCCAAATTCCCAAACCCCTGAATCTCCAAACCCCCAAATCCTCAAAGCCCAAAATCCTCAAATTCCCAAACCCCAAATTCCAAATCCCAAAATCCCCAAATCCCAAAATCCCCAAATCCCAACTCCAAAACCCCCAAATTCCCAAACCCCCAAAATCCCAAAACCCTGAAATCCCAAAACCCCCAAATCCTGAAATCCCAAAATCCCCAAATCCCCAAACCCCAAACCCCCAAATCCTCGGGGATTTGTTTTTTTTGGGGTGACCCCCCCATTTTTATGGGGTTTTCCCCTTGGATTTTGGGTTCTGTCCCCTTTTTTGGGGGGTTCCTATTTTTTAGCGTTCCCATTTTTAGGATTTCCATTTTTTTGGGGGGATTCCCATTTTTTAGGGTTCCCATTTTTAGGATTTCCATTTTTTGGGGGGATTCCCATGTTTTAGGGTTCCCATTTTTAGGATTCTCATTTTTTAGGGTTCCCATTTTTTGGGATTCTCATTTTTAGGATTCCCATTTTTAGGATTTCCATTTTTAGGATTCCCATTTTTAGGGTTTCCATTTTTTAGGGTTCCCATTTTTTTGGGGGTTCCCCTTTTTAGGATTTCCATTTTTTTTGGGATCCCATTTTTTAGGATTCCCATTTTTAGGATTCCCATTTTTAGGACTTCCATTTTTTAGGGTTGCCATTTTTAGGGTTTCCATTTTTTAGGGTTTCCATTTTTTTAGGGTTCCCATTTTTAGGATTCCCATTTTTAGGGTTTCCATTTTTTGGGATTCCCCTTTTTAGGATTTCCATTTTTTTTTGGGATCTCCCTTTTTAGGATTTCCATTTTTTTTGGGATTCCCCTTTTTAGGATTTCCATTTTTTTTGGGATTCCCATTTTTAGGATTTCCCATTTTTAGGATTCCCATTTTTAGGGTTTCCATTTTTTTGAGTTTCCACTTCCCCCCATTTTTTTGTCCCCCATTTCCTCACCCCAATTTTTTTGTCTTTCCCCCCATTTCACTCCCATTCCCCCCCGTTTTATTTCAATTTCCCCCATTTTATTTCCTTTTTTCCCATTTTTTCCCCATTTTCCCCCCCACATTTCCCCCTCCCTCCATTTTTTACGGTTCCCCCCCATTTTTTTGGGGGTCCCCCGGATATTTTTGGGGTCTCACCTCCGGGGTAGCGCCTCAGGATCAGTTTCCTCACCTCATCGTAGGCGAAAATCAGCAGGGAATAGGGGGGGGGGGGGGTCCGGGTGCCCCCCAAATTCGGGGGGTCCCGACCCCCCCCGGGTTAGTTTTGGGGTGCGGGAGGGGCTCGGGGGGTCCCAAAAGAGGGGGAGGGGATCAGTAATAGGTTTCCTTCTCCACCCAGCCTGCAAAAAAGGGGAGGGGGCGTCAGGGGGACCCCAAATCCCAAATCCAAAATCCCCAAATTCCCAAACCCCTGAATCTCCAAACCCCCAAATCCTCAAAGCCCAAAATCCTCAAATTCCCAAACCCCAAATTCCAAATCCCAAAATCCCCAAATCCCAAAATCCCCAAATCCCAACTCCAAAACCCCCAAATTCCCAAACCCCCAAAATCCCAAAACCCTGAAATCCCAAAACCCCCAAATCCTGAAATCCCAAAATCCCCAAATCCCCAAACCCCCAAACCCCAAATCCTCGGGGATTTGTTTTTTTTGGGGTGACCCCCCCATTTTTATGGGGTTTTCCCCTTGGATTTTGGGTTCTGTCCCCTTTTTTGGGGGGTTCCCATTTTTTAGGGTTCCCATTTTTAGGATTTCCATTTTTTGGGGGGATTCCCATGTTTTAGGGTTCCCATTTTTAGGATTCTCATTTTTTAGGGTTCCCATTTTTTAGGGTTCCCATTTTTTGGGATTCTCATTTTTATGATTCCCATTTTTAGGATTCCCATTTTTAGGATTCCCATTTTTAGGGTTTCCATTTTTTGGGATTCCCCTTTTTAGGATTTCCATTTTTTTTTGGGATCTCCCTTTTTAGGATTTCCATTTTTTTTGGGATTCCCCTTTTTAGGATTTCCATTTTTTTTGGGATTCCCATTTTTAGGATTTCCCATTTTTAGGATTCCCATTTTTAGGGTTTCCATTTTTTTGAGTTTCCACTTCCCCCCCTTTTTTTTTCCCCCCTTTCCTTCCCATTTTTAGGATTCCCATTTTTAGGGTTTCCATTTTTTTTGAGTTTCCACTTCCCCCCAAATTTTTTTGTCCCCCATTTCCTCACCCCAAATTTTTGGTCTTTCCCCCCATTTCACTCCCATTCCCCCCCGTTTTATTTCAATTTCCCCCATTTTATTTCCTTTTTTCCCATTTTTTCCCCATTTTCCCCCCCACATTTCCCCCTCCCTCCATTTTTTACGGTTCCCCCCCATTTTTTTGGGGGTCCCCCGGATATTTTTGGGGTCTCACCTCCGGGGTAGCGCCTCAGGATCAGTTTCCTCACCTCATCGTAGGCGAAAATCAGCAGGGAATAGGGGAAGGCACAGAACCACCAGGTGACCCTGGGCAAAAAAACCCCGGTTGTTTTGGTCCCCAGTTCATGCCTTGCTGGAAGATGGAGTTGGGTGGATTTTGGGGGAATTTTGTCTGGTTTTAAGTGGGATTTTGGGGTGGTTTTGGGTGGGATTTTGGGGTGGTTTTGGGTGGGACTTTGGGGTGGTTTGGGGTGTTTTGGTCCCCAGCTCACGCCCTGCTGGAAGAGAGTTGAGGTGGATTTTGGGGGAAGTTTGGCTGGTTTTAAGTGGGATTTTTTGGGGTGGTTTTGGGTGGGATTGTGGGGTGATTTTGGGATGATTTCAGGTATGCTCTGCTGGAAGATGGAGTTGAGGTGGATTTTGGGGGAATTTGGGCTGGTTTTAAGTGGGATTTTGGGGTGGTTTTGGGTGGGATTTTGGGGTGGTTTTGGGTGGGACTTTGGGGTGGTTTGGGGTGTTTTGGTCCCCAGCTCACGCCCTGCTGGAAGAGAGTTGAGGTGGATTTTGGGGGAAGTTTGGCTGGTTTTAAGTGGGATTTTTTGGGGTGGTTTTGGGTGGGATTGTGGGGTGATTTTGGGATGATTTCAGGTGTGTTTTGGGTGGGATTTTTGGGGTGGTTTTGGGGTGTTTTGGTCCACACTTCATGCTCTGCTGGAAGAGAGAGTTGAGGTGGATTTTGGGGGAATTTGGGCTGGGTTTAAGTGGGATATTGGGGTGATTTTGGGTGGGATTTTGGGGTGGTTCTGGGTGGGATTTTGGTGTGGTTTTAGGGTTTTTTGGGGTGATTTTGAGGTGGTTCATGCCCTGCTGGAAGACGGAGTTGAGGTGGATTTTGGGGGAATTTGGGCTGGTTTTAAGTGGGATTTTGGGGTTGTTCGGGATGGGATTTTGGGGTGGTTCTGGGTGGGATTTTGGGGTGGTTCTGGGTGGGATTTTGGGGTGGTTCTGGGTGGGATTTTGGGGTGGTTCTGGGTGGGATTTTGGGGTGGTTCTGGGTGGGATTTTGGGGTGGTTCTGGGTGGGATTTTGGGGTGGTTCTGGGTGGGATTTTGGGGTGGTTTTGGGGTGTTTTGGTCCCCAGCTCATGCCTTGTTGGAAGATGGAGTTGGGTGGATTTTGGGGGAATTTGGGCTGGTTTTAAGTGGGATTTTGGGGTGGTTTTGGGTGGGATTTTGGGGTGGTTTTTGGTGGGACTTTGGGGTGGTTTTGGGGTGTTTTGGTCCCCAGCTCATGCCTTGTTGGAAGATGGAGTTGGGTGGATTTTGGGGGAATTTGGGCTGGTTTTAAGTGGGATTTTGGGGTGGTTTTGGGTGGGATTTTGGGGTGGTTTTGGGTGGGACTTTGGGGGGGTTTGGGGTGTTTTGGTCCCCAGCTCACGCCCTGCTGGAAGAGAGTTGAGGTGGATTTTGGGGGAAGTTTGGCTGGTTTTAAGTGGGATTTTTTGGGGTGGTTTTGGGTGGGATTGTGGGGTGATTTTGGGATGATTTCAGGTGTGTTTTGGGTGGGATTTTTGGGGTGGTTTTGGGGTGTTTTGGTCCACACTTCATGCTCTGCTGGAAGAGAGAGTTGAGGTGGATTTTGGGGGAATTTGGGCTGGGTTTAAGTGGGATATTGGGGTGATTTTGGGTGGGATTTTGGGGTGGTTCTGGGTGGGATTTTGGTGTGGTTTTAGGGTGTTTTTGGGGTGTTTTGTCGCACTTCATGCCCTGCTGGAAGACGGAGTTGAGGTGGATTTTGGGGGAATTTGGGCTGGTTTTAAGTGGGATTTTGGGGTTGTTCGGGATGGGATTTTGGGGTGGTTCTGGGTGGGATTTTGGGGTGGTTCTGGGTGGGATTTTGGGGTGGTTCTGGGTGGGATTTTGGGGTGGTTTTGGGGTGTTTTGGTCCCCAGCTCATGCCTTGTTGGAAGATGGAGTTGGGTGGATTTTGGGGGAATTTGGGCTGGTTTTAAGTGGGATTTTGGGGTTGTTCGGGATGGGATTTTGGGGTATTTTTGAGGTGGTTCTGGGTGGGATTTTGGGGTGGTTTTGGGGTGGTTTTGGGGTGTTCTGTCGCACTTCATGCCCTGCTGGAAGACGGAGTTGCGGCGCGTCTTGCAGATGATGAGATCCGCCCACTGCACCACGACGATGCTGGCGAAGAACGCCGTGTGGCACGTGAACTCCACCACCTTGCGCTGCTCGTACGTCTGGGGAGCGGCAACGGGGAGAAACGGGGAACCGGGGGGAAACCGGGGTGAGCAACGGGGAAACCGGGGGAAAAACAGGGTGAGCAATGGGGAAACGGGGAAGGAAACTGGGGTGAGCAACGGGGAAACCGGGGTGAGCAACGGGGAAACCGGGGGAAAACCAGGGTGAGCAACGGGGAAAAGGGGGAGGAAACCGGGGTGAGCAACGGGGAAACCGGGGAGGAAACCAGGGTGAGCAATGGGGAAACCGGGGAGGAAACCGGGGTGAGCAACAGGGAAACCGGAGTGAGCAACGGGGGAAACTGGGGAGGAAACTGGGAGTGAGCAATGGGGAAACCGGGCGTGAACAACAGGGAAACCAGGAGGAAACTGGGAGTGAATAATGGGGGAAACCGGGAGGAAACCGGGGTGAACAACGGGGGAAATCGGGAAGAAACCGGAGTGAGCAACAGGGAAACCGGGAGGAAACCGGAGTGAGCAATGGGGAAACCGGGGAGGAAACTGGAGTGAGCAACGGGGAAACTGGGGAGGAAACGGGGTGAACAACGGGAGAACCGGGGAGGAAACTGGGAGTGAACAACGGGGAAACAGAGTGAGCAATGGGAGAAACCGGGAATGAACAACAGGGAAACTGGGAGGAAACTGGGAGTGAACAACGGGGAAACAAGGAGGAAACGGGGTGAACAACGGGGGAACCGGGGAGGAAACCGGAGTGAGCAACAGGGAAACTGGGAGGAAACTGGGAGTGAACAATGGGGAAACCAGGAGGAAACGGGGTAAACAACGGGGGAACCGGGGAGGAAACTGGGAGTGAACAACGGGGAAACAGAGTGAGCAATGGGAGAAACCGGGAATGAACAACAGGGAAACTGGGAGGAAACTGCGAGTGAACAATGGGGGAAACCGCGGGTAAACAACAGGGGAAATGGGGGAATGGAGTGAACAGTGGGATAAACCGGGGAGGAAACCGGGAGTGAACAATGGGAGAAACCGGGGAGGAAACTGGGAACCAGAGAGAACAACGGGAGAACCAGGACTGAACGGGAGGAACGGGGCGGAAACGAGGCAGAAATGAGTGTGGAAATTGGGCAGAAATGGGTGTGGAAATGGGATGGAAGTAGGTGTGTAACTGGCGTGTAATTGGTGTGTAACTGGTGTGGAACTGGTGTGGAACCAGTGTGTAGGGTCAGCGTAGGGTGCCTCACCCACTCCTGTCCGTAGGAATCCTCCAGGTTGTTCTTGGAGTGGAGTGTAAGGGGTGTGTAACTGGTGTGTAACAGGTGTGTAAGGGCTGTGTAAGGGGTGTGTAAGGGGTGTGTAGGGTCGGTTTTAGGGTCCCTCACCCACTCCTGTCCGTAGGAATCCTCCAGGTCGTTCTTGGAGCAGAGTGTAAGGGGTGTGTAAAGGGGTGTGTAAGGGGTGTGTAAGGGGTGTGTAAGGGGTGTGTAAGGGGTGTATAACTGGTGTGTAACAGGTGTGTAAGGGGTGTGTAAGGGGTGCGTAGGGTCGGTTTCAGGGTCCCTCACCCACTCCTGTCCGTAGGAATCCTCCAGGTCGTTCTTGGAGCAGAGTGTAAGGGCTGTGTAAGGGGTGTGTAAGGGGTGTGTAGGGTCGGTTTTAGGGTCCCTCACCCACCCTTGTCCGTAGGAATCCTCCAGGTCATTCTTGGAGCAGAGTGTAAGGGGTGTGTAAGGGGTGTGTAAGGGCTGTGTAAGGGGTGTGTAAGGGGTGTGTAAGGGGTGTGTAAGGGGTGTGTAGGGTCGGTTTCAGGGTCCCTCACCCACTCCTGTCCGTAGGAATCCTCCAGGTCGTTCTTGGAGCAGAGTGTAAGGGGTGTGTAAAGGGGTGTGTAACTGGTGTGTGACTGGTGTGTAAGGGCTGTGTAAGGGCTGTGTAAGGGCTGTGTAAGGGGTGTGTAGGGTCGGTTTTAGGGTCCCTCACCCACTCCTGTCCGTAGGAATCCTCCAGGTCGTTCTTGGAGCGGTCGTCCCAGGCCAGGCGGATCCCGAGCAGCGTCCCCGGCAGGAAGCCGTTCTCCGCCAGGATCACGAAGTAGGTGAAGAACCCGCCCAGAGCCTGGATCATCCCTGAGGGACCGGGATGGGGATCAGAGCCATGGGATTGGCATAAAAAACATGGGATTGGATCATGAAGTAGGTGAAGGACCCGCCCAGAGCCTGGATCATCCCTGAGGGACCGGGATGGGGATCAGAGCCATGGGATTGGCATAAAAAACATGGGATTGGATCATGAAGTAGGTGAAGGACCCGCCCAGAGCCTGGATCATCCCTGAGGGACCGGGATGGGGATCAGAGCCATGGGATTGGCATAAAAAACATGGGATTGGATCATGAAGTAGGTGAAGGACCCGCCCAGAGCCTGGATCATCCCTGAGGGACCGGGATGGGGATCAGAGCCATGGGATTGGCATAAAAAACATGGGATTGGATCATGAAGTAGGTGAAGGACCCGCCCAGAGCCTGGATCATCCCTGAGGGACCGGGATGGGGATCAGAGCCATGGGATTGGCATAAAAAACATGGGATTGGATCATGAAGTAGGTGAAGGACCCGCCCAGAGCCTGGATCATCCCTGAGGGACCGGGATGGGGATCAGAGCCATGGGATTGGCATAAAAAACATGGGATTGGATCATGAAGTAGGTGAAGGACCCGCCCAGAGCCTGGATCATCCCTGAGGGACCGGGATGGGGATCAGAGCCATGGGATTGGCATAAAAAACATGGGATTGGATCATGAAGTAGGTGAAGGACCCGCCCAGAGCCTGGATCATCCCTGAGGGACCGGGATGGGGATCAGAGCCATGGGATTGGCATAAAAAACATGGGATTGGATCATGAAGTAGGTGAAGGACCCGCCCAGAGCCTGGATCATCCCTGAGGGATTTGGATTGGGATCAAAACCATGGGATGGGGATGGGGATGGGGATTGAGATCAGAGCCACAGGATTTGGGATCATTTGGACCCTTCACTGACCAATCTGGCTGTAAGCCATTCTGATGCCCCTGAGTGACCCTGAGTGACCCTGAGTGACCACTGAGTGACCACTGACCGATCTGGTTATAGGCCATGCTGATGAGTGACCCTGAGTGACCCTGAGTGACCCTGAGTGACCCCTGAGTGACCACTGACCGATCTGGCCGTAGGCCATGCTGATGAGCCGCTCGTTGACCAGTTTGTCGCTCCGCGGGTTCCGCGGTTGCCGTTTCATGATGTCGCTCTCGGCCGCCTCGTAGGCCAAGGAGATGGCGGGGACCTGAGGGCACAGCGGTGTCACCCGGTGTCACCCGGTGTCACCTGGTGTCACGCAGTGTCACCTGTGTCATCCAAAGTCACCCAGGGTCACCCGCTGTCACCCACTGTCACTGGGATGGTGACCGTGCCCAGGGACAGGAGGGTTTGGGGTCTCTGGGGTGGATTTGGGGTGCCCCAGGAGGATTTGGGATGGATTTGGGGTCCCTGTTTGGATTTGGGGTCCCTGGGATGGATTTGGAGTCCCCAGGAGAATCTGGGGTTCCCAGGAGGATTTGGAGTCCCCTCACCATGTCAATGCCCAGGTCGATGCAGAGGATGGTGATGGTGCCCAGGGCAGTGGGATTTGGGATGGATTTGGGATAGATTTGGGGTGGATTTGAGATGGATTTGGGGTGGATTTGGGATGGATTTAGGGTGGATTTTGGCAGATTTGGGGTCCCCTCACCATGTCGGTGCCCAGGTCGATGCAGAGGATGGTGATGGTGCCCAGGGCAGTGGGATTTGGGGTGGATTTGGGGGGGATTTTGGCAGATTTTGGCGGATTTGGGGTCTCCTCACCATGTCAGTGCCCAGGTCAATGCAGAGGATGGTGACGGTGCCCAGGGGCAGTGGGATTTGGGGTGGATTTGGGGTGGATTTGGGATGGATTTAGGGTGGATTTTGGCAGATTTGGGGTCCCCTCACCATGTCGGTGCCCAGGTCGATGCAGAGGATGGTGACGGTGCCCAGGGGCAGCGGGATGTTGGCGATGATGAAGAGCAGGAACGGGGTGATCTCGGGGATGTTGCTGGTCAGCGTGTAGGCGATCGACTTCTTCAGGTTGTCGAAGATCAGGCGGCCTGCCAGGGGACAGCCGTGGCCCCAAATGTCCCCAGATGTCCCCAGTGTCCCCAGTGCTCCCAGTGCTCCCAATCCTCCCAGTGTCCCTGATATTCCACGAATGTTCCCATTGCCCCCAATGTCCCAATACCTGAAATGTCCCCAATGTCCCAAATATCCCTCCCCAATGTCCACGACGCCCCCAATATCTCAAATGTCTCCAACACTCTCAATATCCCCAATGTCCCCAATATCCCAAATTTCCCAATGTCCCCAATATCCCCAATGTCCCAAATATCCCCAATGCTCCAAATATCCTCAATGTCCCAAATATCTCAAATTTCCCCAATACCCCCAATGTCCCCAATATCCCAAATTTCCCAATGTCCCCAATGTCCCAAATATCCCCAATACTCCCAATATCCCCAACGTCCCCAAAGTCCCCAACACGCCCAACGCCCCCAAGTGCCCCAACGTCCCCAATATCCCCAAATTCCCCAATGACTCCACTGTCCCCAGTTCCCCCAACACCCCTCATGTCCCTGATGTCCCCAAACGCCGGTGGCCGTCCCCAACCTTCCTCGACGCCGGTGACGATGGAGGCGAAGTTGTCGTCCAGCAGGATCATGTCGGCCGCCTGCTTGGACACGTCCGAGCCCGCGATGCCCATGGCGATCCCGATGTCCGCCTTCTTCAGCGCCGGCGAGTCATTCACCCCGTCACCCGTCACCGCCACGATGGCGCCCTGGGGACATCGGGGACATTGGGGACATTGGGGGCACTGGGGGTTTTGGGGACACTGGGGGACGTTGGGGACACTTGGGACATTGGGGACATTGGGGGCACTGGGGGTTTTGGGGCACGGGGGGACGTTGGGGACTCTTGGGACATTGAGGACATTGGGGGCACTGGGGGTTTTGGGGACACGGGAGGACATTGGGGACACTTGGGACATTGGGGACATTGGGGGTTTTGGGGACACGGGAGGACGTTGGGGACACTTGGGACATTGGGGACATTGGGGGCACTGGGGGTTTTGGGGACACGGGAGGACGTTGGGGACACTTGGGGACATTGGGGACATTGGGGGCACTGCAGACATTGGTGATATTTGGGACATTGGGGATGTTGGGGACATTGGGATATGGGGAACATTTGGGATATTGGGGACATAAAGGGCATAGGGGGTGTTGGGGCCATTGGGGTCATTGGGGCCATTGGTGACATGGGGGACACTGGGGACATTGGGGTCATTGGGGGACATGGGGGACATTGGGGACATTGGGAACTTTGGGGACATTGGGGACACTTGAGGACATGGGGACACTTGGGACATTGGGGACATTGGGACATTGGAGGTATTTGGGACATTGGGGATGTTGGGGACATTGGTGACATGGGGGATGTTGGGCACATTGGGGATGTTGGGGACACTTGACGACATTGGGGACATTGGGAATATGGGGAAGATGGGGGACATTGGGGTCATTGGTGGCTTTGGGGACACCGGGGACATTGGTGGCTTTGGGGACACTGGGGACATTGTGGCTTTGGGGACACTGGGGACATTGGGGACACTTGAGGACAATGGGGACATTGGTAATATATGGAACACTGGGGATACTGGGGGAATTGGTGGCTTTGGGGACACCGGGGACATTGGTGGCTTTGGTGACACTGGGGACATTGGGGACACTTGAGGACAATGGGGACATTGGTAATATATGGAACACTGGGGATAGTGGGGGAATTGGTGGCTTTGGGGACACCGGGGACATTGGGCTGAGGCGGTACGGGGCCAGGTGACAGCGGTGACACAGGTGGCAGGGACGGGGCGCTGTCACCTGCCGCTGGCAGCCCTCGACGATGATCAGCTTCTGCTGGGGGGACGTGCGGGCGAAGACGATCTCGGTGTGGTTGCGCAGGATCTCGTCCAGCTGCTCCGAGCTCATGTCCTTCAGGTCCGAGCCGTGCACCACGCACGCCTTGGCCTCCCTGGGGGGGTCACGGGGGGAGGGGTCAGCGCCCCAAAATTCCTGGGAAAACCCCCCGGGACCCCAAAATTCTTGGAAAAACCCCCCAGGACCCCATCCCAAAACCGCCCTCCTCAGCTGCTCCAAGGTCGTGTCCTTCAGGTATGACCAAACACACCCTGGCCTCCCTGGGGGTCACAGGGGGGTCAGCGCCCCACAATTCCTGGGAAAACCACCCAAGACCCCAAAATTCCTGGGAATACATCCAGGACCCCAAAATTCCTGGGAAAAACCCCCAGGACCCCATCCAAACCCCAGCCCCCCACCCAAGGCTGTTCCAGCTGCTCCCAGCTCATGTTCTTCAGGTGTGCCCCATGCACCACACACACTTTGGGGGGGTCCTTGGGAGGTCAGAACCCCAAAATCTGCTCCAGCACCCCAAAACTCCTTGGAAGACCCCCCAGGACCCCAAAATCCACTCAGCTTCCCCTACCTAGCTCACCTGGGGCTCACCTGGGGTTCCTCTGGCTCACCTGGGACTCACCTGGGGTTCACCTGGGCCTCACCTGGAGTTCCTCTCTCTCACCTGGAGTTCCTCTCTCTCACCTGGGATGCACCTGGGGCTCACCTGGGCCTCACCTGTCTCACCTGGGGTTCACCTGGCTGACGGGGATGTTGAGCCGTGCCGCGATGTCCTCCACGGTCTCGTTGCCCTCGGAGATGATCCCCACGCCCTTGGCGATGGCCTTGGCCGTGATCGGGTGGTCCCCGGTCACCATGATCACCTGGGGGACACGGTCAGCACCTGGGGACACCTAGGGACACCTGAGGGACACTTGGGGAACACTTGGGGACACCTGGGAACACCTGGGAGTACCTGGAGGACACCTGGGGACACCTGAGGGACACTTGGGGACACCTGGGGAACACCTGAAAGACACTTGGGGGACACTTGGGACGCCTGGGGACACCTGGTTAACACCTGAGGGACACTTGGGAACACCTGAGAACACCTGGGAATACCTGGAGGACACCTGGTTAACACCTGAGGGACACTTGGGGACACCTGAGAACACCTGGGAGTACCTGGAGGACACCTGGGGACACCTGAGGGACACTTGGGGACACCTGGGGAACACCTGGGAACACCCCAGAATGGTGGGGGGGCAAGGGGAAATGGGGATCCCAGGTGGGCTCAGGAGGGTTTTGGGGTCCTTGGCAGGCTCGGGGGGGGTTGGGGTCCCAGGCCGGGGTTTTGGGGTCCCGGGGGGCTCAGGGTGGGTTTTGGGGTCCCACCTTGATGCCGGCACTCCGGCACTTGCCCACGGCGTCGGGCACGGCGGCGCGGGGGGGGTCGATCATGGACATGAGCCCCACGAAGCAAAGGTCGCTGGTGGGGAAATTCACCTCGTCCGCGTCGAAACGGAACCCGCGGGGGAACTTGTCCGGGGGCAGGTACAGGTGACAGAACCCTGGGGACACCGAGAGGGGACACTGAGACCCCAAAAACACCCCCAGGAACTTGTCCGGGG